TGTGTGTGTGTGTGTGTGTGTGTTCGTCTGCCCGGGTATTTCAACTCGACAACCAAGCAAGTTCCAGCGCCGAGATATTTCAACTCGACAACCAAGCAAGTTCCAGCTTCCAGCTTCCTATCTTGTCTGGCTGTCAAAATCGCTTTTCGACCAAAAAATTTATAGGAGTTCCTTTACGCGCCCGTACGCTAAACCCAAATGTACATGAGTGATATATTAAAACGGAAAGGATCACACATGGTGTGTAAATGTCCCCAAAGTTTCAGCTTACTAGCTTCTTTCGTTGCTGAGTTGAAAATGGATGAAAAGATGCGAACACATTAGCACAGACACGCAGAAAACCGCTTCCTAATATGCGTTTTGAAACTTAGATAAGTACGTAGAAACGCCAAAAACATCAAACAACGCGGAAACTGTAACTTTTTGTGCAGATGCGTAAATGGTGGCGCAAAAAGCGACTTTATGAGTGCACATATTTTTTGCGGCCAACCAGCTATTCCACGTGAAGTTGACAGAATCACGTGGAACGTGAATTTTTTCTAAACAAGTGTATTCAATAATCTTTATTTATATAAGAGAATTTTGCCCAATGTTTTACATTTCTATCAATGCGTAATATTGAGGAAATATCCAATTTCCGGCACGGTAGCTTGGATTGGACAGTCATCGTATTCATTCAAATTACAGCAGCACAGGATAAGCGGTGCACGGGATTGCTTATTGCGCTCACCGGTATCAAAACACTTTCGCGCAAATCCGTCCTTCTTGAGCTTGGTGCATAGCGCCAGGTATGGGAATTTCTCAAGTTTTTTTTGATCGATATTCGAGATGCACCCGGATGGCAACTGCAACATCGCACTGCAAGTATTGTGTACAAAATACTTCTCATGAACGAAATTTGATCACTTAACAACAAATGCAATTAGTCACTTCTGCAAGCACAGTAAAGAATGCAGCTGAACATGCAGTAACCGAATGTACCTCATTATAGTGACCTTCAGCTGGTTCACTGCACAAGAGAAAAATAATTTCGTGGCCTGGCCCACCCGGAAATGAGTGTGTGCAAGGCTGTGAGAGGACACACAGAGGTCTGGAAGCTAATTTCAGTTCATCTGTTTATCAGTACAGGTTCAGCAGCAGATTCAAAATTTCAAGCCTTGCAGCTCTCCCTATTTCGCGATTATAGCCTGAACTGTTTTACGGATAACCTGAAGTTATAAATAAAGCAAATTGAGACTTATAATTCGATTTTAGCCCTTATTCTGAATTGCTTGATGAATTAAATTTAATATTTTTAGCTTCCAATTTTTTCAGTCTAACTTTAGTCCGAAGATCAAGACGCAAGGGAATCTGAAAGTTACTTTCGCGCCAGAGACTCTGTATTTTATCAGAATTGCTGGATTCGCACCTAAGATCATAACTCTTCCATCAACATTCTATTTTTGAGTTGTGCAACAACTCATAGCGAGTGAAAAATCCGTTTAGTAAATTTTAGTTCCGTTCAGCAATGACTGACGTCGGTGCTGCTGTGAGTTTTACACCTCTATAGTCGTACGTTAAGTGTATTCAACGCAAGTTCTGAATTGCTATTTTCTTGATACGCTTAAGACCAAACTCTTGAATTATGAAAACTGTGAATAGATTATAGTAGCACAGTCCAAGATCTCTTTCTGTGATCTAAATAAAAATATGCCCCTCTCTCCTTTAAACAACTCATCAGTCACAGTATCCATCTCCAAAAATTTTCTTGATAGGGATTCGAGCTGAAATATTGAAAGCATCTTCTGTTGCTGCACTCGGGGACGAGAACTTATAACCAACGTACATTTCTTTCCCTCTGCCTGTCCTTTGAATAACCACAGATTAAAATGTGAGCTAATGCCACAGTACAAGCAAGAAGAGCATAAGTTAGAATCTAGTGAGCTTAATTTTTTGGATCATTCGTAGCAAATAATCTGAAATTAGACTCCAAGCCTTGATGTATACTGGCAGTAAGCTTTTTCTGATCAAAAGCGGAAGGCGAAAAACCAAAAATTTGGTATTTCAACTGGGTCGCATAAAACGGGTTGAATAACTCTGGAAATTTCATTGTTTCTTAGCTTGTGACTGCATAAATAAGTGCTGATATCAAAATTCATGAAATAACTTCCACTAGATAATGTGCCTTCGATTAAAAGCACTTTCAGAAAACACATCAGCTGCATCAATGGCGCAGAGATGCGTAACGTTGCAAGGGCTATTATTAAAGTATCGTTTTTTTTTGTACGAAAATAAAACGTGATAGGAGATGACTGCAGGGATATGACGTGATATGAGTATGGGCAAAAATAAATTTATCGCTACCAACAAAGCGACGCTGCGCTGTCCCGAATACACAGATTTCAGAGAAATGCCATAACGGATGGATTATCATCAGTGTGATATTACAGTTACAAGGAAATTCAGCAACCACTGGCAAATAAATGGGAAAAGAACTCATCTCTTCCCGAAGTTGCAGAAGCGTAAGCAAATCCTCCCAAGGTTGCTATCACTATACGATGCAGAGGTTCACATTTTAGCACAACGCGCCATTCTATACCACTCCTCTTTCCTATCCCAATTCGTCATCAAACTCACGTGGCTGACGAAGCGATGTTCGAATGCGTTGCCATAGCGAAACCGGTAGCAACCCATCATTGCCCGGGAGCAATAGTCGATGCCCATATCCGTTTTAGTACATTTCCACCGTGCTGTTCTCAACCTCTTTTTATAGTCGGTCCAGTCCGCTTCATCTGGTACCAAACTGCGCATATACGTCGACTGCACGCCTTTTTGCCTGTTACATGGGAAGGCAGTGTCTGAAAACGCATTAAAAAAAAAAAAAAACAAACACACCTTCCGATAATCTTAATATTTTCAGTTTTAGAAACAAAAGTTTAATAGTTGTAAACGAAAAAATTAAAAACAAATTTATTATATGCTAGCGTTGCTGCTGGGATGTGCTCCTATACATCGGACGCAGCTGGCACAGCAGCAAAGCTAGCATATAAACACCACTTCGATTGTCCGAGCCGTCTTGATATTCTTGATGTTAATTGGATAGTGGGAAGCTGTGTTCTATTTGAGCTAGAAGTCGCGGATTTGAACAATCCCACTATGGTTATTCATTCGTTCTGATGGTAAATTAGTACTGAAGACGTACGGGAGACGCCATTAGCTTACTTTAAATAATTGTTCGGGAAGGAAGCCATCTATAGCTCTGCCACAGCACTTAGCACCATTCCCGCTACTCCAAAATGATTGTGCTTGTCGTGTACAAAGCGAATTTTAGTGGAGTTTTGATTCTTTGATTTGGCTTTTCTATTGATTTACTCATTTACTCACCATAAAACTTTGCTAATACAAATACTGAAAACACTTTATTTAGCAAAAGGTATGCAGGGTCAGGACACGGTGCCTGTTGCGGAAGAAGTTGGCGCTTAGTAAGCTTCTGAATGAAGCGACATGCGTACACGGTGGCGGGCAGTGTGGGTGTATTCCATAACATACAGAGATAATGACGTTGACAGTTTAGGCCACAGGCGGGCAACCGGCGGACCGTGGCCCGGATCCGGCCCGCGACTGGTTTTAATCCGGCCCGTGGAAGGAATCGGAATGTGTTGCCTAACTAGATGAATAGGAGGGAGGGGGAGGAGGAGTTCGTACTCCGCAATGCCACTGCATTTTCATGAAAATAAAACCCAGGCTGGAACGCACCGAGCGGGCCCGTGCAATCATGCGTTTTTGCACCGGATTTGAAGTACTCAGATCATTAACTGCATGAATGGTTGTTGCTTTACACCT